GCTTGATGTAGGTTTCTAAGCCTTTAAAAATTTTGCACGTGGAGGACATGAAAAAAATATTTTTTTTAGGTTTTATATATATACTTTTGAATAACTAAAAAAATCATAAATTACTACATCAATCCATAGAATTATACTATAATTTATCAAACGTAGTAACTAAGTTGTATTTGGGTCTTAAAAAATATGAAATTTTGAGCAGACTGAAACTCGCCTTACAAGCTTGAAGATTTGTATCGAAAGAACAAGATAATGTTGTTATACTTGAAAATGGCTGAAAAAGCCACTAGGGGTACATTCTGAGCTTTTCAATTGGTTATTCACATGTCATAAACAGAAGTAACTGTATATAAGGAACTATTTCCGAAAAAGTTTGATTCACTACATGAGCAATATCTCAGCAAATAGAAAAGATAGGAGGTTCTTATTTTATATTCTAGCTCGTTAATATGGGTAATTTGAGTTCCTAATTCGTATGAAACTATAGACTTTGTACTTTGACGTCACAAACATCTAATTTGAACTAGTGCTGCATTCAACATACCATGTGACACACAAAAATCAATGTTTCACTTTTTTTTTTAATATTTATTTTAAAGTAATAGATTAACTAATTTATGTATAATACTAAAATTTGAATTATAATCTACAGTTTGATACCAAACTTATTGACAAAAATTCATAAAATAGTAGTTCAATAAAATTTTGAATGCAAGTTAACAAACGTGATGACATGGCCTTTGACCTATGTGGATAGGGTTAGCCCTTTTGATACGGGTCACAGGTGAAAGGTCATGTCATTTCATTTGTTGGCTCACATTCAAAATTTTATTGAACTACTATTTCATGAATTTATGTCATTATGTTTAGTGATAACATTTAGTGAAACATTTGATAACTATATGGACATTATAAAGAGTTTGCATGTGAAATTTGAAAATTTTCTGATGCATAAAAGTATTTTTAATCTTGAAATGAAAATTACTTTGCATGATGGATAGGCAACTTGCAAAAAAAAAAAAGGCATGAGAGAAACAATACTTTAGAAACTATAAGACTTAATAAAAAAATTTGATATTTTATGCATGAAAGCATTGTAATGTTTACTGATAATCTGCCAAATTTCGTTAACATACACTTGCTAATTTAAAAGGTATAGCATGAAAGCTATAACAAGCACAAAATGGTTATGAGGTCAGTCCCAGGGGCCGAGCCCGGGTTGAAAGAGTTAATGGATGCATTTTATTGTTAAACATTCCCAAGTCAACACTTTGTGTACAGTGAAAATTATTAAGCTACAATTTGGTATGTTTAATCTATAATATTTGTAAATTCTATGGTGATAAATATTGCAGGTAAAATTATAAGATAAAAATAGTTAATTGAGACTTAAAATATATTTTAAATGGAGAAATTATTGGTTTGATATTGAATTGTGCATATTTTTCATATTTTCATTCATCATGCATTATAAAATGTAGGCCAATAATGCAGGTACGAAAAGCTCGTTGGATCTGGTAATGTAAGAACAGAAGGAAAGATTAGGTCACATAAAGCCATTTTAGCAGAATATGTGGGTCAAAACTACTTGAATGCTCAAAAACAGAAATTGAAGGATCTGAAACAAGGTTGATTTATGAAATGTACTAATGAGAGATAAATAAACATAGAATTTTATGAATTTCTCTTTTTGATGGGTAAATTTTCACATGAAATTGTTGAACAAAATATTTTAAAGTAATTTGTAATTGAAATATTTATTAAAATCAAAATAGTAATACTCTGATTCTTTTGTAATTCAGATGTTACAAGTAAAAAACTTTTAGGCTTTCCATCATAGCTTAAATTAACCAGTTATGATTTTAATAACATATCTGCTCTTGATATAATTGATAATATGGAAAACTGATCCACTCCAAATGAGGCCATACTATAACCTGATAAATTAACCAGATTAAAATAATCTTCTTGCTCCTAAATTAAAGTTGCTCTGCATAGAACCAAGAACTATTATTTTCCCCACAACTAAATACTCAATTAACTCTCTATACAGGTTGGTCCCAGGGACAGACCATGGAACCATTTTTACTTGTATATTGTTTTAATACTATAACTTTTAATACAGTATGTGTATCTTCACAAAATTTAGCAGACCTTTTAGTACACCTTGCAAATATTTTGTAAACCAAAAAGCAGTTTTTTTAATGAAGTATTTTTACTAAGACTTGTCTGCGAATATACTGAGTATTTATTTTGAATAGACCGTGTGCAAAGTGATTTTCATGTTAAGATTAAAAATATTTTTCTTCATCTCAGAAATCTCAGATTTGATTTGTGTATTCTCCAAAATCATACTAAATACATTTAGAATGTTTATTTTCACTAAAACTTTATATTTTATCTGTTATTTTCTCTACGCATTTCTCTACAATGTTGGTCAATTTGACTGATCTTGTAACCACCAAAAAAAATCAAAGTAAATCTAAATTACTATTTTGTTTTTTATTAGAATGACTTCAAATTGTAACATGAAACTACATTTGCTTATCCTAAGTAGCTATAAACTTGTAACAGTATACATCTACTTATAATTTTATTTTATTTCCCTTCAAACTGTGTCTAATTACTAATTGTAGTAAATCATTTGGGTAACATGCAGCTCATGGTATATTATCGAATTAGATTACCCATGAGCTGCTCGGGTGTGTGCCTTGTGAAATATTTTTATTACATTATCATTATTATTTATTTTATCTAATCTAACCTTAACTAAGCAAAAGAGGTCCCTATTTTTACATTTTAGTTACTTTTATAATAATAAATATAGAATAAACATGAAATAAAGTACTTACTTGAATCTTTTTCTTGCTGTCGATTGTCAATGACACTTAACTCTACTTTTTATACAAATGGTAGTAATGCACTAAATAATTTTTATTTAATTAAATAATACACCAAAGGACATACAATAATAACATGCAAAAAAAAAGACAATTTTCCCTGACTTTCACAATTATTTTGGCTTTCTAATGATGCGACAAGAGCTGTCACAAATTCATCCAAGTTAGTCATTACCTTTCTCATGGGAACAAAGCTTGTACTAACAGTGAAATTGACAATTCTTCATGTTATACAATATGTCATTTGTTTAATTTCATATTTATTAGAGGTATGGTGGATAAAATATATAGAAGAGAAAATGTATCGCATGTCAAACTTGGGGAAATTTAGGATTGTTAAAAATATTGCCTTGTGGAATAAATAACTTGTATACTATTAAAATATGGATTATTAGCAAAGATTTTATGCTTTACTAATTGGAAGAACAAACAAAAAATAGATAAATAAAATTTTGAATGTAAGTCATTAAAACTATTTGACATGCACAGTAAAGGATGCCTGTTGTGATAGGGTTAAAGGCTAAGGTTTTATCAACAGTCACTTTAAATCCTATTTTTTCTCCCTCCTTCCAAAAATAAACAACTAGGCCTAGCATGCCTTGGTGGTTAGGGGTCCTTCACTCTCAAATTTTGATTCTTCAAATCTCCATCACCAAACATGCTCACCCTTTTAGCCATGGTGCATTATAATGTGACAGTCAATCCCACTACTTGTTGGTTAAAGAATACTCCAAGAGTTGATGGTGGGGTGTTGATTTGTTACATTCCCCTAAATTAGGGATGGTTAGCTCGAGTAGCTTTGTATGAAATTCGGAATGGGCCAAACAATGTTTGTGATGGAGTATGCAGATAAAGTACCATTAGAATTTCTTTATTGGGTGCTAATGTTCATTGTGTTGCAGAGAGAGAATAGTTTTGTCATAACTAAAATTACATTGGTTCTTTATTGTAAGGACCACATCATGATTTTAAGTGTCATTTGACAATTGTTCACTAAATTATTTTTTTACAGTACATATGTATCGTATGTCATAGCTTAGTAAATGAAATTTGTAACTTTGAAGAAGTAAAGTACTATCAGACAGCATTATTATTACTTTTATATTGAACTTCACAAATGGTAAAATGACATGTAAGCATTTTCAAACTGAAACTGATGTTACCATTATTTTTATGTATTAGGATTTGAGAGGCCTTCAGCAATTCAGCAGAGATCAATTAAACCAGTTATTAAAGGAAGAGATGTTATTGCCCAGTAAGCTTTTTTGTCTTATTATTATTTATTGTTAATCAGAAAGGTGATTTAGATATGTTAATAACTAACAGTTTGGTAGCTAAAATCCACATTTGGTTCTTTCCTAATTCTAAATCAGCTACAATAATCTGTTCACTAGTAATTGATTAAAAACTTGTGCTTGTAAGGTAAGATACTGTTAATAATTTGTTCATATATTATGTATTATATGAGATTTAACCCTACTGGACCAGTGAGTACTTTTAAGGTATCACTTTCACATCTGTATATCAAATTTCAACAGTTTTCAACTGAGTAATGTTTTGATATTGATATTCTATCATTTTGTAATATTTAGTGTAATTTGTAAAGTAAAATGAAAAAAATGTTCAAAGTTTTGTTTTGTCTGTAAACAACACACTTACTGATTTTTAATTTACAGCTATTAATGTTACTAGATACTTCTTCTTATGTCAACCTATATCCAGTCTGGTCATTCCTCCCTAAGACCTCCGTTGCCCGGGTTGGCCATTTGGCTTTCACACCATTTATTTATCTTCCATCTCCTACATGTACTCCCATTCCAATCCTAATCGGCTTCTTTGTCAGGTTTGCTCCCTAAATTGTTATGTGGCGTGTACTGCTTCTTTTCGGGGCTCACATTTTTACCTTTTTTTTCCTAGAACCCTTCTGTTTCCTGTGATCTATCTCCTGTCACACTGACCAGTTGGTTTTATCAAATCCTTAGGCTGGTATATTGAAACTTATCCATGGAATGTTTGTCTCCTCAGTGTTTCTGCTCATCAATTTGTCATATCACTGTCTTTGGCTGCTTGTCTTCATCATTTGTTGGAAGAAATCTTTTAGGCCAGAATGTTGACTACTTCCTGTTCCCTTGTCTCTCATTATTTGCACTATCTGGCTGTATCTTTCTCAGATTTATATCATCTCCTTCCCCTTGTGATTCTACACATTTCCATTTGCTTTAGGTAAGTCTTTCCACAACATTTATTTATATTTTATTTTCAGGGACCCTCTTTTACCTTTACTAATAGGATCCCACTCTGTGGTGAGTGTTGCCTGGTCAGGTGTGCTTTCACTCAAACACCTACCATATACTGATAGCACTATAACGATCACTGTAGAGATGGGGTCTTCTGCAAGACCACAAGTGGCATGCCTAGTGGTATATACTTATGTGTATCTAAGTATCCATAACTTTAACTCAGTGGTGAACCATCACTCATGGAATATCATGAGTAAAGCAAAAGGTGATTTCTGTACACCCTGGCTGACCCTTGATTGCATAAATCTGGGACAGTTTGCTTTTCAAAATAGGGAATTGTGGACACCCATTGCACTTTCTCCAGTGTGACGTTCCTTAGTCCCCACCCCATTTCTCTCTCTCTCTCTTAAATGGAGCACAGGAGTCCTTATCAGTTCCCAGTCACTGGGGTAGTGGAAAAAGAAGGCTTCCTCCTGAGTGTGAAGTAGAAATTTACCTTACAATAACAACAACACATTTATCCACTCAGTGAGAAGAGGGCAAAGCTGGGTTCATGTCCTTCCTTTTCTCCTGGATGCTTATTCCCAGATGGACCAAATGTTAGTCGGAGCGGGACAAGCTTATGTGGAATCCTCCTTGTAATACCAGGTTCAGGTACGGTTGAGTGCAATGGAAACCCCCATTCTTGTTAATCTCAGTTTCAGAAGGTGTCCTTCCCTATTCCTATGGTTGAATCTGGGCTTGTAATACTGACAACAGGACATACATACACTGTTCCTGTGGTTGAGCAAATGTTCCACAACCTCTTCATAATTCCGGGTACAGGATTTGTCTTTTCTGCATAATTTCTAGGTGGTTGCTTTCCACTTGGTTTCACTGTTGGGCACCTATGCTGGCTCCTCTACCCTTCAGTGTGGGATTCTAGCTTTGTGTGAGAAGTGGTGATTTATGATTTCTGCTCTCAATACTGGTTACAGGTTCTGCCCTGTTCTTACAGTTGAGTTGAGGCAACATCATGACCCTGTAATGCCAGATTCAATTTGTTGTACTTCTTGCTCCTATGGTGGTTTTTGGAGTTTGTCTGGTTTTGGTCGAATGCTAACTTCCTCTTCATAATTCCATTTGCTTGACATATGACACACTGTTTACTTACGGTTGGGGTTGATGTGTGTGTGTGTGTATATATATCACACGGATCACATGCCCTAGCCACAGTGTTTATGTTATTCTAATTTCCTTTTTATCTAGGTGAGGCTCAACCTTCTAATTCTGAAGACAGGTTGTGGAATCTCGTCTGTCCAGTTGAGGTTGGGTTGATACCTATCCATGGCTAGATGTTTTTCTCCATCATTATAGTTCAGCAAACTGTCCCTTGAGTTGCCATTTCTCCTGATGTGGGTATTGAGTTCCCTTCAAGTTTTCATTTCATAGACCAGCTCTTCACATATGAGAGCTGGCTGGTTTCTTGTCTGGTTTGTGCTATGTAGGACAATTCAAATTCACGCCATTTTTTACTATGGACTGTACCTCTCAGAATGAATTAAGCTCGTGCACATCCTTTTTTCTTCGTCCATATCAGGTTCATTTCCTTCTTACAGAGCAAAGAGCATACTTGTTCCAGAAGTATTGTGATGCCCCTCATGTGTGTTTTAGTTTTGTCTCTGAGCAAACCCATAATTTCTAGGTGGTTGCTTTCCACTTGGTTTCACTGTTGGGCACCTATGCTGGCCCCTCTACCCTTCAGTGTGGGATTCTAGCTTTGTGTGAGAAGTGGTAAGACTGTATTGGAAGTTAACATTTTCTTACACTGAAAATGTATTTTTTACAATATGTACTTCCCTCCACTCACAAACTACCCACCATTCCTCCCCACTGTCAGGGTTCTTCATTTTAGATCCTGCCAATTTTCAAAAGTGAGAATTGAGCAGGAGAATCAGAGGGAACTAGCTGCACCAATAGAGGAGACACAATGCTATTTGTGGATGGTGGTCACATGCTATGTACATGTTCAAAGGTGGTGAAAAATGTGTGGGGTTTGTAGACTGATGTACTGAGCATTAAAATGTTTTAGCAATGCTTAGGTGGCAGAAACAAAATTGAGATAGCTTTGTGTGAGAGGAGGTAAGTACCTATCGGAAATACATTTTCACTGTAAGAAAATGTTAACTTCCTTTACTTCTGGTTCTTCTATTCTTGACAAGGAATGTGTAACACCCCATCTCAGAACCACTCAACCAACCTTCCTACTTCATTTTTTTTTTGTCTATTTCCCTCATCAAGGATAAACTTTTGGTTTACTCTAAATGATCAAGGACAGTTACTGTACAAGAAGGTTATGTTGCCATTCTGTTGGTCGAGAAGTATAGTCTAATGCTGATTGTATCTTAGAATAACACAAGTCACATTACTATATGAAATGGTGTGGACTTGTTTAGAGACTTGACAAATATAAAACACAATTTTTTGAGAGACCCAAGGCCATAGATGTTTGTTCTGTATAGAGGGGAATATCTGTCTGAAATACATTTTCAGATATGGAAAAAGTTAACCTACCTCCTTATTACTTGTGATTATATCTACATATTCTATTCAATAGAATTGTTATCAAATATATACTTGTCCAATGAAGAATTTACCTAAAAAGTCCCACATCCCTCACAAAACTTCTGAGTGAACATAAGACTGCATATCATTTTACATTTGTATGAAATGTTAGTTTAGCAGTGAACAATTTGCTTGATATTAATTTTATTAATCAGTTTTATTAATACATTATCTAGGAGATGTACTAAGCTTCAGTTATTTTGCCAAAAACCTTGTTAATTAGTGTATTTTTTTTAGGGCTCAGTCTGGAACTGGAAAAACAGCTACTTTCTCCATTGGTGTTCTTCAGACCATAGATACCCAGTTGCGTGAAACACAAGCTTTAATATTGTCTCCTACACGAGAATTGGCTGTCCAGATACAAAAGGTTGGATATGGTTGTACATAAAATATTGTGTCCTGAAGAGCAGTTGGAATATTTTTACTGCTTTAAATATATATGTGTGTGAGCACACACACACAGATATTACAAAAAATAGATGAGTTGTTTTAAATAATGTGCAATGAAAAGTTTGCAGTGACCTGTAATACCTAAGGTCAAGAGTTTTTTTTTTATCACTTTTCATAATTTAGCTTATTTTTTAGAAACTATTACACTGAATGTTAAGTAAATAGTTGGCCACCATACAATTGTTTTCAGTGACAACAACTACATAAGTCAGTAGTGAAAACGTTTGTATAAATAGACCTTAATTACAACACACCTACATAAGTGATCATTGTTCTTTCAAGTGAAATTTGCAAGTTTTTAACTTTTGAAAGAACAATTAAAGTTTCTGGTTTTGACAGTTTTCTTAAAGAAAAAATTGTACATTTATTTTAATGCTAAAACCAGTTGTAATGATTTTTTAAGTTTAAAATGTAAAAACAAGGAAGTTATAATTATACTTAACTGTGATTTTTAAGCCTTTAGACTTACTTAAACAAATTGATTAGTTTTAGTTACTGTCAGTGCTTTCTAGATTGCTGTTTAAAAAATAAATGTTTCTACACATGTGTACAGTTTCTTTTGCCTTCTAAAGTACTTTCTTTCTGGTATATGGTTCTTTATAGAGATCCAGGTCTAGAGCATAAACATACTGAATACATGAGCCATACTCTTGTACAGTAGATTTTCATCAATAGTAGCATCAAATAATATTGTTAAGTAAAGGCAAGCTTTTCATGGTGGTGTTATTTTAGCTATAGGCAGAAAATGTTATACTTGAAAATAGAGAGAGCTCTGAAAAGAGGTGTATTGATGAAAATATTCAAATGCACTTCTTAACATGAAACTGAAGAAGATATATGAATGTGTCAAAACTACTTTCGTTAATGTCAAGACTTCTGACAGTTTGTTCCATTTAGTCTGTGTCTGTCCGTACTTTTCTCTTCCTATTGGAAGTAGGTGTTGAAGATGATATATTCACACACATGGGTCAATATTAGAGATACAATCATGGAATGGCTATGAGCAATCCTTTTTTTTCTTCCAATTCTATGTAACATCTGTGGAGTATTTTAAAAATGAAATTTTTCCTACAGTAGATCTGAATGTAAAGGAAATCCCTTATTTCCAATATTTTGATGACAATTTTCTGTTTGGCCAAACAATATAAATGATTTTCAATGCTTTGTACAGAAGATTAACAAGCTTCACAAGTACTTCATAAGTTTAAAGTGGAATGGGAACTGATAATTTACTAGAGGAAAGACAGAACCTGTTCTCTCTACCAGTAGAAAACCAACAAACCCTTTAATTCTTTTAAACCCATAATATTTTGCACGTTCTGCCAGAATTATTTTCATGATTTCCTAATACCGGAAAGATATTACCTTAAATTCAAACACTTCTAATTATGTGCTTTCATTTCTTTTCAGATGAATTTGATTTAGCAGGCAAAAGAAACCTTCTTGTTCATAAATTTTCTGTTAACAAAAATAGCTTTCCTCTAATCAGTAAAAATGACTGACCACATTCCTAACAAGAAGCACATTCGACATTGTTTGCTCTATGAGTTTCAAAAGGTAACAAAGCAATGGAGGTAACCAAAAACATTTGTGGGGGTTTACAAAGATGCTTTGGGTGTCCAGAAATGCCATCTATGATTCAGAAAATTTAGATAAGATGATTTTGATCTCTCAGATTACCATCGTTCAGGGTGACCAATAGAGTTATTAGACAATGACCTCCTGATGTTGAGTCAGTCCTCCATCAAACCATCAAACAATTGTCAAAAAAACTTAATTATTCATGGTCTAACATTCAAGAACATCTTATACAGATCGGGAAGGTCAATAGACAAGGAGTCTGGGTTCCACACAAACTGTCAGATGACAACAAAGCCCAGCACATAACAATTTGCAATTCATTGATAACCAGACACGAGAAAGAGCCATTTCTTCCTCTGATTGTTAAGCCCAAGAATCAGTGGCTTAGGCCTGTCCTGAACCCAATTCTGACAGTCAAACCAGTTCTACACATGCAGAAAGTCTTGTTGTCCATTTGGTGGGACAGTCGGGTTATTGAAATTGAATCAGACTGTAACTGCAGACTTTTTTTTTGTCAAGAGTTGGACTGTTTACACCAGGCTCTCATTGAAAAACGTCCAGCACTGATCAAAAGAAAAGGGGTCATTCTGCAGCATGGCAGTGTGAGACCACATTCTGCAAGAATTACTCGGAACAAGATCAGAGATTTGGATTGGGAAGTCCTGCCTTGCCGTCCATACTCTCCTGACATTGCCCCTTCAGACTACCATTTATTCCGATCTATGCAGCACTTCCTCAGCAATAAAACATTCAGAAATATTGATGGCATCAAAACTGCTCTTGCAGAATTCTTTGTATCAAAGGAAGCTTCCTTCTATCAACGAGGAATTGAAATATTGATTAAAAGATGGCACAATGTCATTAATAGTGATGGGAATTATGTAACTGATTCAAAAATAAATACCTTTAAAAAGATCTTTTACTGTTTAAGGAAAAATGGCATTGCTTTCTGGTACCTATAATAATTATTTATATAATATTACCATACCTTATAAAACTTCAGTTTTCTTAATTTTGTGGACAGTAGCATGGTTTGGATTAGTTATCAGCCAAAGAGCTATAAATATTATCAGATGCTGTCACCGTCCGATCTCGATTTTTCGGCTGGACACTGGCAGTATTTGCTCAAGTTTAAGGAGTTAAGCTATGTTCAGTTTTTCTCATGCCACTACAGAATGGTCAAAACATTAATTATAATCAGTGTTTTTAAGAACTTCGAGAATATATTAACTGATGACTGTTGATGAAGAAATCAAAAATATTTATACAATTTTTGAATGGTTACAGTATCCTATGGGCTTTATCAAAAATGTCCAGCAAAAAGCAAGAAAGACATTTTTTAGGAATAGTAAATGGCAACAAATATAATCTACATGTGAAAATACAAATAAAATACTTAGCATCAACTAGTATTGTGGTTTTATTGTCTGAAAGACAATTTCCAAGTTGTTTATAAAATATCTCAACACAAATATTTCTTTCACTCGAACAAGTCTTCACCTAAAAATAGAGAGCGTGGTGTCTATATAGTACTCTGCCAGTCCTGTAAAAAATGTTTGTTGGTTAAATGGGTAGAAATTCTGATAACACACATAAAGAGTGTTAAAAGTGGTCAAACAAATAATACTATTTTTCGACACATAACGAATCTTGATCATCAAGTCAACTGGAAATCAGCCAGAATAAAACATAAAACCAAACATTATGTCAAAAGAAGAGTCGTGAAAAGTTTCCTAATCCAAAGGTTGCCAAATTTCGAAATTTTTGAAGGTCACTTTAAACTGAATCCATTTCTGACATATGCCATGAAGCAACTTGTAACTTCTGTTATTAAATAAGCTGTCTATGTGTTTCAAGCATTATTCTCAAGGTTATATCACTAATGAAATTTTCCTTCTTTGAATTTTATTAGTACATCTTCCCAATTTCTCTCTTTTATGACCTTACAGCAGGTGATGGAATAACAACTAATGCATCTCAGCTTTCAAAATAGCTACAATCATTGGTAGAGTAGATAATATAACTATTTTTGTCAATATAGAGTGAATCAAGTGGTGTTATAAGTAACTTATTGTTTTGTGGGAAAGTGATTAGATGCAGAAACAAACAATGATATATATAATGCAAGCTTTAGGAGAATTAGGAATAACTCACCAATGTGAAATTTTTTGTTCATTTCTGAAGTGTTTTTTATGTTAAATTATATTTGTTTGAAAGGTACAGAAATTTTCTTGTATGACAAGACATTGGGTAAGCCGTATTAGGTCTAGAGAGTATAGTAAATGATGGGAAAATTTTTCAATTATTCAAATCCTTACTTATTAAATATTATTTGTTATTTTATTCAAAAAACACTTATAACTAAGAAAATTTATAATTTATTGAAAATAAAAGTATATTTATTAAATATAACTTGATTTTGACCAAGAATATTGTCAGCAAAATTATTTTTACCTAGTCTGACCTATCACCATGAAATGCCGTGTTCTATATTACAATTATGTCTTTGTCAGTTCCTATTATATATTTTTTTATGTTTTTAACCAAAAGTGGTGAGTACTGTAAATAGCAAAATAAAGTATGAAATTAAATATTTATGTATATCAATCAAGTTGAAACTGATTTGATATAAAAATTGGAAATTTCTGTTCAAATTGAAATAAAGTAAAATTCTAAAACAAAAGGAAGTATTTTAATTTTTTATTAGAACAGTATCACAAAATAATTCTGGAAATTTCACAACATGAAAATGATAAAAAAATTAAATCAAATTATAGTAATCTTTTTAAAACAGAAACTAGGTACTATTTAATAAGTTTGTTCAAATATTATGCAATTTGGTTAAGTGTTTCTACTGTCTTCTTCTCCATAATGACCTTAACCCCAACTACACTCGGGTGGCTGGCCCAGATAGCAATCATATAGGATGAGCATGTTTGGGGACTGGGATTTGAACTTGCGACCCTCACATTGTGAGTTGAGTGTCCTAACCACTAGGCCATAAGTACTTATTGTGAAAGGGAAAAAAATCAAAAGTATCAGTGACAACTACTGACCTGGGAAGGGTTAACTTAAGAATTATTAATAGGCTTGTTGTTTGCTATCCATATGGTCCTGTTAAGTTTTCAAGGTATGGATAAGTATCCTAAGAACAATTTTAATAACTACATCACTTAAAGACTAGTTAAATTATTTGTTTTGTTTAAATACTTGTTAGATAGGTTCAATATAAATTTAAATGTTTATGCTCACTGCGACAGTACTCTATCTAATTAAACTCTTGTATGTACATGAGTAATACACTGCCTTTTTTGCACCAATTATGTGAAAATTGATAAAACTGATGCAGAATTGTTAACCAGACACTTCATAACAATCGATATGTTCTACACTCTAAACACATCACTTGTATATCTGTATGGTGTAGTAATCAAACGAAAACTCATTTCAGAAACATCTTTCTTAGGAATATAATGTATCATTTAAATGAACGTGTTTAAATACAAGTAGTAATCACACACACACTTTGTAGGTCCCATGCTTTCCTTCACCATCATTGAGAATGCTCAATCTGATGGCTATGATGATGCACTTTTTCCAACATCACAATTTCCATTGTAACAAACTTGTGCAAAAAATGGCAAGATCCTTATTACACCACATATTTTAATAAACTTTACACATCCACTCGACTGTTGTTGGTTTTCAAGATCATGTTTAAGCTGAACAAAAGCAAAAATATCTGTTGGAGTTGCTTCAGGGGATTTGGCAGGTATGTGGTCAAATGGGACTACTGTGATTTCAGTTTATTGAGTCATTTCTTGCATAAAAAAACTGCTATTGCTTTCTAGGTGTGGCTGAAAGCTTGTTTTCATAAACTCCATTTACTTGTTTATTAGCTTGTTAATTGTACCAGAAGTGGCTTGTTTAGATAGAGGGATTTCTTTTGTCCTAGCCATCACTTTATGGATGAAGACTTGATGTATTCTCTAGGTTAACTTGGAATGTGGTTTCTGAATGTGTTGCTGTCCTAAATACTAACATCAGCATTTTCTCACTTTCATATAGAACATTGAAGGTTTCATTCTTGTAAATATTGCATCCTTTGGACCTACATCACTCATTAACCTTACTAAAGGAATATCTTTTCTTAGAAAGTGTGAGACATATCTAGTTAACTCACCTGTAGGGGCACAGCATGTGAAGGGGTTGGAAATATAAAGGCAATAAATATTAACACCTGCAAATGATTACTAAGTGAGATTATTCCTCTCTAAAAAGTCAAACTTTGTGTTTCATAAATGTTTGAAAGTATACGTTGTTAATGTATGGACAGATAGTTATTCTAATTTAGTTTTCATTATATTGTGTTTCAGAAATGTTTGAAAGTATATGTTGTTAATGTATGGACAGATAGTTATTCTAATTTAGTTTTCATTATATTGTGTTTCAGAAATGTATGAAAATATATGTTGTTAATGTATGGACAGATAGTTATTCTAATTTAGTTTTCATTATATTGTGTTTCAGAAATGTTTATGGACAGATGTATTTATTCTAGTTTAGTTTTCATTATGTTAAAGAAGGATTTGTCTTTTATCTGCATTTATTTACTTTATCTTTTCTCATTTAAAATATCTCAAAAATTTATTGCAGAAAAAATTCTAATTAGTTTTCTTCTGTAGGTAATCCTAGCTCTTGGAGACTATATGAATGTACAGTGCCATGCATGTATCGGAGGAACAAATTTGGGTGAAGATATAAGAAAGTTAGATTATGGACAACATGTGATATCTGGCACACCAGGCAGAGTGTTTGGTGAGTCTCAAGTAGTATAATTTGTATGATGATGTTATAAACCTTTCATTTTGTTAGACAGGAACATAGGGATGCTTAAAAAGTTTGAAAAAGAACTTTTGTTTAAGTTAGATAATTAAAATCTTGCATTGTCAAGAAACTAGACGCTTGCTAAAGACAAAGTAGTTACTATCTTAATCCAGTCACAACTGGTGAATTCCTTTCAGATGTCAAGTGCTCAAGTACATATTAAATTTTAAAATTTAAGCAATAATAATAATGCTCTTTCAACAACTTTTCACTCAAAAGTATTTTAGAATTGATATTTTGTAACACTCATCTAGTGTAATTTGCCAAAAAAAATTAAAATAGTTTTGCAATTTTCATTTCTGTGAAGCTTAACAAAGTATTTATTAATTTTTTATTTTTCTGCCTATCATAAATTAGAGGTTTATATTTACTAATAAACCATCATCCCTTGATAATATGATTATCCATGTCTTGTTTTTAAGTCATTTTCTTTCTCTGTTAGTAGTTTTATTACTAGAACACATTGTTTCCATCTTTTTTTGTCAACAGCATGTAATCTGAACAATTATTGATAAAGCAGAACTTTGAAAATACTGTAGGCAACATTTAAGTATGATTATTTTGAGCAGATTATAAACTGTTTATACAAGATTATTCACCCTTTTAAACGCTTTTCTGTGCAAGTCACTGTGTTACATTCTAAATTTAATTAAACACTTAATATCAATGTGTGTGAATGAAATTAATATTATAATATATGTTATGATTCAAAGTTTTATATTATATCCAAGTTTTAAGACATTTATTTAAAAATAAACCTTTAAAAACTACTTAAACATCAGATGTATTGTCATATGACTAATGATCTTTAATGATATAATGGTAGTTGAGTATAGGTAAGTCTAGACTCTAGACAATACCTTGCTTACATAACCTTTTCATTCATTCATTTCAAAGTTCTCTGAATGAATACATTTGAAACAAGTAAGAAAATTTTTCAATCCTAACAGCTGCCATGACCACTTTCAACAGATTTGTTTGAGATCTATAGCCTACATGTAGGTGCTACATACACGTGTGTACATTCATTAGAAAGAGATCATTTTACATTCTAATTGACAATGGTTATTTTGAAATTGGTGTGCAGTTGTCTTCACAGATTACAGTAATTGACTCTAGTATTGTTGGCTGCTTGATTGACTATAGCACTTACAGTTCTTTCTTATTTAAATATGTTATAGTTAGAGATACAGTTTAAATTGTATTTAGGTCTTACTATTATATTTTAGATAATTATGTACTATTTATGTTTTAAAATGCATACTTAAAAGGTTTAAAAATTTTTTAAATATACATCATACTTTGCATCTGTTCTCAAGGCTTACAATTTTACAAACTGAACAAAAATTTTGCCAAAGGGTTATGCTCTCTCCCAAAGAAACTATAATATGCCTTGAGGGCACTGTTCACTTGTGTCAAGATGAATAATAAGTAGTAAAGGACAAGAAAGGAAAAGACCTGAAATTATGAATTTAACAAAAGGAAAATTTTTAAAGATACTGTTCAAAAAGTTAAAAGGCATGTATTTTTTTGTCTGTTTCCTAATTTTAATATTTTCATTACATCATACTTCGGTGATAATAGCTAGTTTGTGATAATGGTAGAAAAAATATAATATATGATACAAACATTTAACTTGAAAAAAACTTTTCATATCCTTTTAGAAGGTTCTAGGGATTATGCAAATGAAATATGAAAAATATAAGATGGAGCAAAGTATTTTTATATTTAAAATAAAAATTACCTTGCACTTAATTTTTTAATAGTTTGGATGCAAGTAACTACAATACAAAAATAATATTTTTTAGTAAAAACACTTAATTATAATAATGTCATTCTTTGTGTACAAGATATCTATGATCTCTAACAAAAGCTTATCAGTTTTTTAATGGATACATTAAGAAATCTCAAAATTACTGCATGTGTTGTTGTACAAGTGAAATTAGCAACTTGATTTTTGAAAACTGCACAAGCCCACTGCAAAAGAATTAAATCACATTTGCTATTTTGATACATTAACTTGTAGCTGTGTTTATTATATCACAGTATATGTCTATAAAACATTGGTTGATGGTCACTCCTTTTTGTCAGATTCAAAGATAGGTACTCTGTCTGCAGTAATAATAAATTCGCAATCATGCAATGTTGGCTATAATTTGACACTTACTATCAGCCATCACTGTGATTGCCAATCCGATACTTGAAATTGAGCTTGATGCTTTTAAACTATGACTTAAATATTTTTGTTGTAGGAGGCAACCTATTCCTTTGTAAAACGTTTTAGACATTGTAAAAAAACTGTGATTTCATTAGAAGCATCGTGTCTGAAGGGGCAAGAACTCTATACATAAACAGATGATACGCTGCATCAATACAGTTGTAAAATTATGTTAATAATCAATATGATACATATGTCATGGCAGCCATATAAACTTTAAATTACATCCACGGCCTGCACGCTGCTTTATACATATGCACGTAGGAGATTATGAGTCTTCATATAAACCACAGACTACACTAAAACGATTGGGTGTTAATTGTTATACAACTGCTGTTATTTGCTTGGTAGTCAAATAAACTTAAAAACTATCCTACACAATGTGCAATGATGAATTTAGTAATATTGCCCAAGTTATATTACAGTATTCACAGCCATTTTTGCTGCAGGTTGGCAGAACAATTTTAAATAATAATAAAAAAGAACAAATGGACAATCCATATTATGAACCACTACCATAGTTCATGATTAGTGTACAGTAAATAAAGTTATTTGAGCAGTATTTTATGGTTTAGTGGGAAAATGACTAGCTGAACCTTATGTTGGGATTAGTAAAGGGATTTAATGGAAAGCGTAGAAATTTAGGAACAAACCACTGATCTGGGAAATTTTGTCAGAGTTTCTTTTAGGGATCTTTCCTTCCTTGTAAAAGTTTTCATTTTAATGTATGTTTGCTTGAAAGTTATAGAAATATTCATTTATAACATCAGGTGACTTTAGGTAGGGTTAGTAAGTAGGGTAGGGCAAAACATTTCAGTGACTAACATCCTTATTTATTGAATAATATTGTTAAGTTTATCAACTAGGCAAACAAAATAAGTTACTATTTATTGATAAAAAACTCAACCAAAAATATTGTTACCCAACTTCACAAAGGTAACGATGACTCCATTTTGAAAGGCAGGTTCCTAGACCATTGACAAAATAAATTATCAAAAGAAATATGTTAATGAACATCAATGAACTTTTAATTAACTGGAGATATATATATCTGATCAACAATAAATATAATCGAAATTTTAGACAAGGGTTAAATCAATAATAATGTTTAAGACACAATACTATGTAAAAAAACTAGCTCGCATATTTGAAATCCTAAGATTGGTTGTTTTCTAATGAATAATTGAAGTCTTATTATTATATTTTACAAACATTATTAGCAAACAACTGAAGAAATAATTTTTGAGAACTAAATTTCACAATTTAAGATATACTTGTTAGTATTTGAGGAATATGGCTGCATCTTTTACTAATAGATTGAAACACCTTTTGAAATAAAACTCAATTGCTCTTTATAATACTCTACTCTGTTCAGTGATTATTTTATTTAATCATGGACAGAGTTTCTTTCAAGACATGCCATCCATGCATATAGAGTTGACCATGTGCATTGAAACATCCTGGGTTTGCACAGACAAGTTTCTATTATAAATGATCCATAACACTATAGCTGACATGTTGATAGTTTTTATAAAATATAGGTTTTGAAGAATATTTATAAATATTGCATTTAGGACTTGATGTAACCTTATTCTGAGTGATTTATTCAAATTCTTGGTAATTTCTCCTTTTTTATGGTATATATATATGTAAGACTAAGATTATATCATCCTTTCCAGCTCAGTATCCCATGTTTACTTCAATGGCATGTGGGGTCGTGTTTTAAGAACTTCTGTCTGATATCTTACTATCAAATCACAGAAAAAAGAAAATTATAAATGTTATGTTTTGATTTAGAATTTTATTTTTAATTATGTTTTGCTGCCATTTATTTTTGATAAAGCAATAAGAAAAACCAAATTTATAATATTAATTTCAATCTTTGCACCCCCAATATGACATATATTTAGTCAAACTTCCTGCCTGCACATATAAAACTTGTCTACATATTTGAGTTTGTAGTCTTTATAGATGGTTGTTGTTTATTCCTATTTCATATAGTTTAATTCTTTCAACATGAGCTTGGTCGATTTGACCGACTATGTGACCTCTTTGTACTCGATTAAATATTTAATATTTCTAACTTTCAATAGAGTATATATCATCACAAAATTTGGCAGTCTTTCAGTTCATATTATAAGTCTTTCACATACAAAAAATAATTTTTTGGTGAAGTATTTTTAATAAACTAAAATATAGATTTGTCCATTAATATATTGAGTACTTGTTTTGAATAGTTTGTGTGCAAAGTAATTTTCATATTAAAATCAAAAGTACTTTTCCTTACCTCAAAAATATCAAATTTCCTTTGTGTAATCCCCAAAACCTCCTAAATGCATTTCAAACGTTTTTGTTTTTAGTAAAACTTTATAGTTTATCTGTTATTTTCTCTACCCTATCTCAAAACGGGATCGGTCAGTTCGACCGGCCTCATAACCACCAAAAAAAATCGAAATAAACCTAAATTAACCTTCAATTCTTTCTAGAATGACTTCAGATTTTAACATGAAACTACATTTGTTTATCCTAAGTAGCTCTAAGTTTGTAATACATCTATTTATAATTAAATTTTTTGTTTTATTGCTCTTTAAACCATGTCTACTATCTGTGGCATTATAAGTTGTAAATCACTCAGGGGAACATGCAGCTCACGTTACGCTATTGAATTACATTACCCACTAGCTGCTCGTGTGCATGCCTCTTCAACCATTTTAATTATATTATTATTACTTATTTTACCTAATCTAGTCTTAAATAACTTAAAAAGATCCGTATTTTTATATTTTAGTTACTTTTGTAATAATAACTAAAGAATAAGTATGAAAAACAAGAAATAAAGTATTTACCCAATCTTCTTTTTTTCTTGCCCTCGATTGTCGATGAGAGTTAAGCCTGATTTTTTTAGTGATTATAGTAAAGCACTTAACAATTTTTAGTTAATTAAATAATGCACCAAAGAATATAGACCAATATCATGCGAAAAGTAGACAAATTCACTTCTAAAATTTTTTCTGGCTTTCTAACTAAGCAACAAGAGCCGTTAGAAATTCATCCAAGCTAGTTGTTAACTTTCCCATGGGAACAAATCTTGTACTGTGAGTGAAATTGGCGATCTTCTGTTCCAAACACAATGTTATACAATACGTCATTTGATAGATGAAAACCTTGACTTTCTATTCGTTATAGGTGATATGTAATGAAACGTAAGAAAGAACTATCAACAAATTATGAAAGAGAGGATGTGGCAAGGGGTGTCTGATTTTCTATTTGATAGCTCTTTAACGAAATAAAATTGAAGGCTATAAAAATTATGGTTTGTGTGAACAGTAATGATTTTATAGAGTATTTTATTTTTAATTTTGTACTTTTTCAAGGGTAGTGGATAAAGTAGGGATGATGACATGCTAAGAAAAAATGTGTCACATGGGTCACGTTAGTGGAACTTCAGGATTTTTTTAAATATTCCCTTGTAGAAATAAGAATTTAAAACTTGTATATTATTAAAATATGGATTATCAGCTAAGATTTTATGCTATTCTAATTGGTATAAGATAAACAAAAAGTTGTTTAATAAAATTTTGAATGTAAGACACTAAAACCACAGAAGGGTGTTAAAGTGTACCATTTGTTTTTTTCTAGCTTTAGGATGCTGGAAGGTGTAAAACGAAAAGGGAGAAAGTTCAATATTATAGTTTCTGATACCATAACCTTTTAACCTTAATGCCCTGGGTACCCTTTATTGCACATGACAAAAAGCTAGAAAAAAACAAATGGTACACTTTAACACCCTTCTGTAGTCAGCTGTATGATATGTGCATTGTTTCCATACTTGGGGCCTCCATCAAAAAAAGAACTTTATACCAAAGATGCAATGATTATATTATGTGAGGAAAAGATGTTATTAACAATTGCAAAGAATGTTTGTTCACTCATATTCTTATACATTATTAATTTCAGTGTATTACATTTAGAGTAGCTTTATTCATGTCTAAATATTACACTTTATGGTTTGTTGCAAAAATTTTGTTTTATGTGTATTTTTATACCATAACTAAGTAGACTATTTATGAAGTAGTATGCATTATATTTGTAATATGTAGACTAGAGACCTGTTTTATTCTTAAATTATAATTATTTTTTATTTGAATTGAGTCAAAATAAAAACTGATGGAATTTTCGTCATACGATACAGATGAGGACTCATTGGACGATCTCACTCAAACCATGAAATGAAGTCTATTCCTAACATGCTGCAAATAATATGTGACAAGTGTAATAGCAAAAAAAATAGGGAGAGGATAAAGATAATATCTGAATGTAATGCTTTACATGTTATTCAGAAATATGTAACTATTAAATGGGTGTACTAACATGATGTTGATTATAAATAGTACTTATCTGAGGCACTTTGCTTGAAAAGTTCATTAATAAGTGTAGACATCCTACCTGATTCATGGAGAACATGGTTCTTTGTACACATCTGTTGAAGTAGAAACTTAAGGCAAAGGTTTATGAATATTATTAACCAAAACCAATCAATTTTGTAAAAAAAAGTTATAAAAGTGATTAAAGAATAGCTTTTTAGTCTGTTAAGAGTGCTGATGGATTATATTATTGGGTTTAAAAATGTTTTCGATTCAGGTTATGTAAAGCCAACAATAAAATTTGAAGGTGGTTTTTTTCTTGAAGAAACTCACTCCAACACTCATCTTGCCATCAGATGCTCTAATCTTCAAAATATTGTGAAAATAAGTAACTGATTAAGCTTACCTATTACATTGCATCTGCAGATTTCCTACATGTTACATTTTCTGCAGCTGCTTCAAGACATGAAATTACTGAAAGTAATTCAGTAATTTTATCATGTTATTCAGTGTGTGGGTTGATATTTTGACTTCAGTTTTTTTTTCTCTCTTAGTCTTATCCTTTGGAATGACATTTTAAACCATTAATTTGGCACAATTTTAAATTATGAAAGAGCTCTATATTAGAGCTAATTGACAAGGATTCTATACTGTAAGCTAGTAACTCTTCATTAGCAAGTGACTAATTTTACTGTTTTATTACTTTCTGTCAGTTTTTCAGAAATCATTTGCCTCAAGTAAAACAGTTGTGTCTTCCTTATAAAGCTATGTCCTTATATCTTCTCTGCTTTTATCACATTTTCAGGCCATATTATATGAAGGTGATTTTTCTGAATAACTTTTATCATATATATATACAACCATTGGAACTTGCTCTTATGTTATATGATTTCATGTAATTAAAAACTTATAATGGTAGTGATGAAAAACTGCTTAACCCTTTCATTACGGATTGGGTGGACTCCACTTGGTTCATAACCACGAAAGTATCCATGAGAGTAATTATACTATGATTTTTGATAATGTATGCCCATCTTTACAACATTTTGCAGGTTATTGGTAAATATTACAAGGTTTTCGTAGACAAAGTATCAGGTTTTTAAATTAAGTATAAAGATTTTTTTAATTAAAGATTTTCTCTTAAGCCTTTTTCTTTCAGAATGTTGACTATCCAACATGCAAAGCAATTTTAATTTTAAGATTAAAAATACTTTAATACATTAAAACATTTTCAAATTTCACATGCAAAATCTTTATAATCTCCAGATAATTTTAATTGTTTTCTTAATTATTTTATTTATTATTTTCACTAGTATATTTCTGTATGCGTTGTTTCAATATGACTGACTTCATAACCTCAATAAAAAACATTAGGAAAAAAATAATATTATTTTTTCGTTCTAGAATGACTACAAATTATAACACAAAAACACAAATTTGTAGTCTAAATAGCTTAAATTTTATTACATTATACATTTCTATATATATATGTTTATTTATTTATTATTTTTATTATATTGAACTTCCAGCCATGCTTGGCTAACAATACAGAAGTTACAATGACATGACATGTACACACACTCGTGTTAGTGTAATCAAATAATATATAAC